ATTGTGTGGGGAGGAGGGGGACAAATGAACCCATGTGTCTTCCCCCCCTGATTTGCTGCTTGGCTTATAGTGAGCATGCTCACACAGACTGAGCATGCTCAGTAATTTCAGCTGAAGGCAATGCCCTGACTCTGCCCCCCACACTATTGGCAGGTATAGGTCATCTCTGCACAGCTATATGGTGAGTCTAAGCACATGGAAGTTTGTGAGTTGCTCAGACAGTGCAGTGATGGGGCCAGGTAAGGACCTGCAATCGCTAGAAGTGCAGCTGTTTCCTGTACACATCAAATCACAAAAATGTCACATTGGGATTGTCGCAAGCTTTCCTGATTTCACACTGACTCCTTCACTAGCTGATGTTTCTCTTAATGCCGCAGCTCTTGGAATCCTGTGATTACGTGACAATCTCAGCTCTCACTTTAACAAAAGTTTCTTGCTCTCGGGCCTGAGTAGAAAACATTGAGAACATGATCAGAGTGAATCCTGACTGCTTGCTCACAAACAAACAAGCAGTCCAGAATACAATTTTTTAGAAGAAAAACCCTCATGTTTTCTTCAGTAGCCTCCTGATTTTTGATTACATGGTGCTGGTAATACTGCCTTGGCAGTGATCAGTTTGTTTTCAGGCCTGGCTTCTCTAGCAAAGGCTCTAAGGACCCAAATATAAAACTCAGCATTGTAAGTGATTCCTTTAGTTCACCCTTAATCCAGGGGGGCTGTTCTTATTTGTTGCCTGGGCCCACAGCCTGGCTCCATGCGCATTCCCACACCTTGCCCCCTCTATTTCCCTATCTGTTAACTATGCTGTGTTCGATAAATGATGGCCCTAAATTAGGGGGCTTTCCATGGGGGATAGGGATTTAAGGCCCGTGTTCTTGGTGGTACAGTATTGCCAACCCCAAACTTTGGAAAATCATGAGTCAGGACCCCCAAAATGATGTGATTGCCTTTTGTGAGACTAAAAAATAAAAATAATAATAAAAGTTGAGTGACACTTTCTATTTGCCTTCTGACTTCTCAGACTTTAGGCTGACTCAGGTCACATTTTAAGTTTTTCTCTGCAACCAAGAAAACTAGAGACTTCCTTTGTTTAGGTGTCCCTAACTTCTGTTTGCCAGAAGCTGGGGATGGGCAACAAGTGATGGATCACTCGATCACCTGTTCTGTTCATTCCCTCAGGGCACCTGGTATTGGCCACTGTTGGAAGACAGGATACTGGGCTAGATGGGCCATTGGTCTGGCCATTGTTATGTTTATGAGACTCATTGCCAACATCCATGATTTTATAACACTTTTGACACTGCGTCTCCTTTACACTGAGGCAGAGCTGCCTTAGCATGTGTCAGAATCAGGCCTTTGAAACATTGATTCCAGCTTCACCAATTTTTTGGCCTGTGAATTTAATATCCCTAGACTTGGAAGGATTAGATTTTATCGGTAGATGTCAGTAAAGGTTGATTTCACTGTACACACACAAACTGATGAGAAAAATTTCCCTTGATAAGAACTGAAATTTACAAATAGGCACAGTAAGAAAAATGCTGCTTGAGAACTTACTAGAGTTTGATTTAAGGATATTTACTTAGCATGTTTTGACATGAGATGTTGACAATTTGTATTTTAAGTCACACTTTTTAACTTTGAATTTGTGTCTGTCATAAAATAATTGACTAAAATATTGTCTGATTCCCCCCCAATTTCCCACAACTGTGAACAATAATATTGATAAAAACTGAAACTTTGAAAGTTTAAATAGATAAATACAAAAAAATCTTACAAATAAATATTAATCTTATCTGTCAAAATTACATATTAAATCAAATGAATTCTGCCAAGCCTAAATATGACTCCTTAGACACGCAGTTCTGTCAGCTCATCAGGACAAGGGGAAGCTGATGTCCATGTGACACCACAGTGACCCCCCACACCAGCAGAGGGGGCTGATTGCAGGATCGGAGCCTTATTGGGCCATTTCTCACCAAAGCCTCCAGGGCTGGAATGTAACCGGTGATCTGGCTCCAGCTCAGCAAACAGCCTCAGTCAGTTCCAGGAAGGGAAACACCCAATTGCTGCTGCTGCAGGCGGGACATATCTCTGAGCTCAGGATAGTGAAACTAACCCTGTTACACTGTCCAGAGGGAGCCATGGCCACAGACAACCCCGTGGAAAGTCTCCGGGAGGAAGCTACATGCCCCATCTGTCTGGAGTATTTTAAAGACCTGGTGATTATAGGTTGTGGGCACAATTTCTGCCGAGCCTGCATCGCCCAGTGCTGGGAGGGATCGAATACAGATGTCTCCTGCCCTCAGTGCAGAGAAACTGTGCAACAGGGAAACCTTAGGCCGAACAGGCAGCTGGCAAATGTTGTAGAAATAGTCAAACAGTTGAGTTTACAGGCAGCAAAGGGAGCAGGAGAGGAGAGGCTGTGTGGGGAACACCAGGAGACTCTGAAACTGTTCTGTGAAGAGGATCAAATTTCTGTCTGTTTGGTTTGCCATCTGTCCCGGGATCACAGAGATCACAGGGTGGTTCCCATAAAGGAGGCTGCCCAGGAGTACAAGGTAGGGAATTGCTCTCAAGTTTAATGGGTAATAACTTTGGATTTTAATTACAGGCTGATTTCACTGGAAGTTACCTGTCACAGGTGTGATGCATCATTCAGGTCTGTAAAGCCTTCATTGTATAGGAGATGCTATAACAAAATTAATGATCTGGCAGTGTGGTGACAGAATCAAATATCAAGTCTTAGAGAAGTTTCCCACATCAGATCTCTCTTGAGATTCTGAATGCTTTTCAAACCCAGCTTCCACTGCTGAAATAATGGGACTTTGTTAACACCGGCCGTTATGTAAAATCAGTGAGGTTTAAATCACAAGAGCTGCAGGCCAGTCTATGTGAGTGTGTTACTTTGAGACTGGAGAACTGATCATTTAAATATCAACACTGTTAATTATTTTGTTCTACATGTGAGAGTGGAGAGGGAGAATTACAGCTCAGCACCATTTATTGCCAGTGACGCCTCCTGCCAGTGCCACAAGCGGGTGATGTTTGGGAGATGCCAACTCTTTTCTCCCTCTTCCTCCCCCCCCCCAGTAAAGGAGGACCAGGACCAGGGAGCCCAGGGGTATATTCTAGCCCCATGGGGGAGCCAGGCCCCAGGAGCCCCTTGGAGCCAATCAGCAACTTCATCCTGTTCTGAATAATGCATCATGTACTGTGAACAGATCATGGGGTCTCCTTTTGGTGACTCACATGGGCGGAGCTTATTTTGTGGGTGGAGCTTCAAAGAATCCAGCCACCTTTGTCCCTCCCACATTCTGATCCCTGCTCATTTATGAAGCTGTTTTGCTGGATGCAAAGGCTGCTTTTCTGCCTCCTGTCTCACTAGCCCCTGCTGGCTCCTCCCTCCCTCACTGCTTCCCTGCAGCAGCACCGCAGGGGTGTCACCGAACAGCTCCCCAGGAGCTCTCAGCAGCAGCAGCCTGGGCCCTTGGGCAGAGAGGGGGAGAGAACTCGAGGGGTCAGAGAAAAGAGTGAAATGGGGAGATCTCTGGCAGGGTGGGGCTCTGGGGGGCTGCAATGGGTGTTGCACAGAGTGGGGCTGACGGGGCAGCAGCACGTTGCTGTGCTGTGTGAAGGTATCACACGCTGTCAAAGGGGAAGAGAGCCCTGGGTTATTACAGCTCTGGAGCAGTTATAATTATGGGTGGCACATTCCCCCAGACCGAGTGTGTTCCCTGTTCCTCACTCACCTCCAGCCACATCACAGCTTCACCCTGTACAGTTAATGGGACTGCGCTGGCTCAGGTGCTCAGCTGCTGCCTGAGGGAGGCCACATGGGAGCCTGGACAGACGAGAGCACAGTGGGGTCTTGTTCCTGGCCTGGGTCTGGGCACAGTGCAGCGAGGGGCTGTCCCAACCGCTTCACTCTCACTGGCAGGAGGGATCGTTCAGACCCTTCCCAGCTGTTTCCCCTCTGGCCTGTGCTCAGGGATGTGAAGCTTTAGCTCAAACACAGGCTCTGAGAAGTCCTGAGTGTCTGCAGGAAGCAGAGCCCCTGCTCTGAGACTGGCGTCTCTGCTCCCATGAGGCCTTTGGGGCCGGCAGAGCCGAGTCTGCTGCTCGCTTCCAGGGTATTTACTGCTGGTGTATGAAATGCCAATATGTACAGTACTGTCCACCCGTCGGACAGGCAGACTAATGGCTGTTTATTGCACACGATGCCCCTGCAGGTGAAACTCCAGGGAGTCCTGGGCCCTCTGAGGAAGGAGCTGGAAGAGGCCCTGGCTCTGACGTCTAAAGAGGAGGAGAAAACCACAGAGTGGCAGGTGGGTGTCCGGGTTTATTCCTCCCTGAGCCCTTCCCCCTGCAGCTCCCAGGAGTGACGGGGCCGTAAAGCTCCAGGATGAGGTTATGAACCTGCTTTGGTTGTTTGCTCCATTGCACAGGCTTGGTGCCGACCATGGGCAGCGCATGCATCCGGCATTGGGGAGGCCGGATGTGAGTGCCGGAACCTCCCCTGCGCCCGGATCATCGCCCTGTCCATTGCTCCACCCCCGTCTGTCCTCCTCTTCCCGAGGCCCCGCCCACGCTCCGCTCCTGCTCTGCCCCATGGCCCGCTCCCACTCAGCCCCCTCCCCAGAGGCTCACCGTTCACTGTTACAGCTCGCTCTTCTCTCCCCGCCCCAAGGCCCCTTGCCTGCCGCTTGCTCCTTTCTGCCCCTTCTGTCTTAAGGGTGAGTGATGGGGGAGGAGGGGCGGAGAGGAGCAAGTGGCAGGGCCCCCCACACAGCTGACGGACTCCAAAGGCTTCGGGGGAAGAGCGGGAGCAAGGCCTCCGGGTAGGGCGCAGGCAGCACTCCAAAGGCGGCAGGTCTGCAGCATACCTCCAAAGGGAGGGGCGCTGCAGCCTGTCTGGGGGGACGCAGCCTCCCCTGGCCAATGGTACCTGGCAGCATCAGGCTGTGTCTGTGGTGGGGATCTCAGCGCAGCAGCTCCTGTAGGCGGAGGAGGGGCAGTTCCTGGCCTTTGTAGAGTGGTGCAGACCCACCCCTGAGATCTCTGATAGGGGCAAATTCTCAATATTGGGTGCAGTGTTTTCACTATTCCATGGCTCCTGTTTCCCTCCTGCACATGGGGAGGGTGTGTCGGCTGCTACAGCCATCGGTTTTCAGTGGCCTCCATGACAAAGCTCTGCAGCTTCTCTGCAGCCTGGAGGAAACAGATTGTTCCTTCTCGCTCTGCACCCACAATCCCTGCAGTGACTCTGCCCAGTGCCTGGGCCAGACACTGGAGCTGGGAGGAGGATTTGCCCCCATGGATGAGGTTCAGAGTCACTCAGCTGGCTGGGCTGGGGCCACACTGCAAGCTGAGCTCTTCTGAGCATCAAACCCAGTTGTGGGTGTGGAGCTCTGTGGAAATTCTGCCCCCAGGATGCATCTACATGGCCCCAACAGCCAACTGCAGGCTAGTCACTGAGTAACACCCAGGGGTCTGGGTGGGCTTGTACAGCCCGTGCCGCTGGGGCTTCATAGCTACCGGTACCCGAGCCAGCCAGATCAAAGCTAGCCTGGGTGTGTCTACACACGGTGCTGTCAGACCTTCATTGCAGTGTGGACACCCCCTGAGTGAGCAGAGCCGGGGCAGGTCAGTGTCAAGCCAGGCAGCACTCGGGCACTTCACAGCCTCTGTTGCCATCACGTGGCCACTTCATCCCAGTCACCTGCTACTGTCACTGTGACTTTACCTGTGCTTGTCTGTAGCCAGGTGAAGAACCCAGGGGACAAAATGTCAGTTCCGGTTCACCTGCCCTTTACAGTGAAATCCCTGCAGAGAGTGTGGGGTGTGTGAGGAAGATGCCAGCAGCAGGGATGAGAGGAGAGGTAGGTGTCCCACTTTCAGATAAAAATGGCCATTTACAAGAGCTGAAATACTCCGAGCTGGGTGCCTCTGGTTCTGCATCTGAAGCCGTATTTAGAGCCGGGCGGAAGTGGCTGATTTCCAGAGGACAGAACCGCAGCAGCTCCCACTGCTGCACCGGAAGCAGCTGGTGCTCAGTTCCCCAGACAATAGGGATTTAGGTGGATAACAATTAACACCCAGGTTTGAATTTGTCCTGCAAAGTGCCCAGCCGGCGCCATGGAGGCGGCTGCCCCTTGGGACAGTCACTGGGGTGGTTCTGAAACCATTGATTATTTCCCAGTGCGAGCGAGTTACGTCCTACATCACCAGAGGTCACGGCCCAATGATCAGTGTCACTCGGCAGAGTAACTGCAGCCCCAGCGACTGTGAGACGAGGCCCAGCAGGGGCGGCCAGTCACCCACTGAGAGGGGCTGTCATGGGCCTGAGCCAGGTGGGGGTATCCCCATGGGCGGGAGCAGGGCCGGGAGGTGACAGGCCCCATGAAGGATGCGCTGTCTGTGTCTGACGGGGGGAGATGTTAGGGATACGATAACGCTGCGCCACTCGAATTAGCTGTATCTCAACAGTGCCCAGGGGGCAGGAGGGGAAGGAGGCTGCAGGACCACAGCCCTTTGCAGGGTACAGGCCACATGCACAAAGTCTCGGGCAGGTGCCAGCAGGGGCTCCTGAGGGAGCTGGGGCTTGTCAGGGCTGTGCTCCGTGGCTGCAGCGCTCCCAGGGGTGGGGTGGAGGTGGTCTGGGGGATGGGTTGGTGTTCAAAGCCCATTGGCAGATGGGCCCAGGGGTGCTGGAGGGCTGTGCTGGGGGCTCGGGTTAGCCGGGCCAGAGGCAGGAGGTGGAAGTTACAGCGCTCAAGCAGCTGCCTCTTCAGACACTGAGCACAGCCTCTCCCCCACCACACAGGTGAGCCGGACAGACAGACGGGTTAGAGCCCTGCACATGGGGGGGGGGGTGTCAGCACAAGGCACACAATGGTGGGGGGAAGGGCTGGGGCTCACGTACTGGGGTTTCAGGGAGGAGGGCACTGGGGGTAGGAGATGGGCTGGGGAAGCTGCTGAAGCCCCTGGCTCTGTTGGCATCTCAGGGAGAGTAAAAGGGACTTTCCCCAACATCACTGCGGCCCGAGTCACACTGGGGGGCAGGCTCACCCCAGGGTCACCCAGCACCTCTGTGCTGAGCTGCAGGGGATCTAGAGAGGCCAGTGCAGAGCAGCCAGCCCCTCCCCCAGCCAGGATCAGCACCGGCTCAGCATCGTTCCCACGGCTCCTTTCAGAGAGCAGGTGGGGACACAGCTGGCATCAGCCAACCCGCTGCTTTGTGAGCCTAGAGGGGTCCCTAAAGGCTGCGATCCCAGGGTACTAGACACATGGGCATGGAGCACTCGACTAGGCTGGGTGAGGCCAAAGCCAGCCCTGACAATGCCCTGGGCCCCCAACACCTATGTGAGCGCCAGGTTGGCACCCAAAGGACTATTAGCACCAGCCCTAGGTCCTGAAGATTGCACCCCTGGGAGCAGGTTGTCAAAGAACTAGCATCGCACCCATCCCACTGTGACGGCTCCCCTGGGTGTCTGAGGGCCCCACACTATGCACCCAAATCCCCCCACGGATGCCCTGGGAAGCCTCCTGTGAATCTCTCCTGTTCCCTCAATTTCTCCCCACTACACTGTGTCCATCCCATGCCACCTGCAATAACATACTTCAACTTTACAAAGCACCTTAGATAACCCTGCTATGGAACTGGCCTTATTAATTCTGAACTAAAACAAACCCTTCATGGTACGTTTCCCAAAGAAGTAAATATCCTTACAAACCTGATACTGATCTAATATCCCCTGCTTCATGGTTAGAGGCCCAGTCCGTGTAACTTAACATCTGGCTCATGTTTTCTCTGTGCCTTTCCTATTTCACTATCTTCAGAGGAAAGTGAAGAACAAGAGAGAGACGATTGCAGGTGAATTTAACAAGCTGCACACACTGCTGAGAGAGGAGGAGCAGCTGCTTCTGCAGAGCCTGGAGGAGGAGGAGAGGGAGACTCTGCAGAGACTACAGGAAAATGTCACCAAACTCTCCTGGCAAAGCTCCTCTCTGCAGCAGCTGATCACAGAGATCGAGGAGAAGTGTCAGCAACCAGTTGTCGAGCTGCTAAAGGTGAGACGGCATCAAAATTCTCCACCCATCCAGAATTATAACTCAGATCCCTGGATCTGGATCCCAACAATGAGAGTAAATGTGTTCTGTGGTTTACAGACAAACAGAACATCCGGCTAAGGGCTCCATCAGTTCCAAAATATCACAGTTCATGTCAGAGGGGAATTCTCCTCCTGGAGACCCAGTGAGGCCGTGGGAGATTAAATGGATGATACGAAAATGATACTGAGCTAAACCCGTCCCTGCTCTGACTCTAGGACATTGGACCCAACCCAGCTGATAAACAGATACTGATGGGCTGGGTCCCGAGAAGGGAGAAACCTTCAGCTAAATCCCTGTCTCACCTACACAAATGAAACAAGTGTTAATGCAAAACGGTGTATGAGATTTTACCACAAACAGTGGAGCATGGGAGGGTTGATCTATTTTCTAGATGAAAGTTTGATGCCCAGAGTGAGACTCACTCAGTTTTATGCACATTGTGTTAATACAGAACATTGATTCTCTTTTTCCTTTCAGGATATGAAAAGCACATTGAGCAGGTGTGTTTCCCATTTTCATTGCTCTTATATTCGTGGTGGTGGTTCTGGGATGACGTGTGTACAGAGCAGCTGAGTGATGATGGGACGTTTTCTTCATAGGAGTGAGAATGTGAAACTCCAGGAACCAGAAGCTGTTTCTACTGACCTGAAGGACGTGTATAAAATTTCCCTTGACATGAGTGAAGTGCTGAAGAAATTCAGAGGTGAGTGGCATCTACTGGGACATTCAGCTGTATTGCGCCAGGGAATCTGGACAGAGCCTGGGACCCCAGGACATGCATGGACCCAGTTGACAGGCTTGGAGCTGTGTGGTAGCTGGAGGCTGATGCGCTCAGTGCTGGGCAGTTTGCCTGCCACTTACAGACACCTGCTGGTACTTGCCCAGGTGTCTGACCAGGCCCTGTCACTCTGACATCCTGACCCCTCCATGGCTGAGTTAATGGGTGTCACTGAGCCAGGTGCCGTGAGGCCTGGACTGGGCCCATTGTGCTGGGTGCTGCACAGACTGGTAACGGATGACGTGTCTGTGCCTCTCTCCTGGGACATGTGAGGGCTGCATTGTGTGGCCACCGTTCAGCACTGCCCCAGCCCCCATTAGCCAAGGCTGGCCCAGCTTTCTGAGCTGGAGGAGGGGCCGGTCTGGCTGCTGCGGTCTGACCTGGGCCGTGTGTTACTGGGTAACAAGCTGAATCCTACGGGCCCCTCGTCTGCTCTTAGCACAACCCAGTGTGAGGTTGGGTCAGTGGTTTGCTGCTCAGACTCGCGCATGAGAGTGTGACCATGTCACAACAGCTGAGCGTGAGCTGCCCCCATCCAAACCCCTCCCCACAACCCCAGCACGGAGACTGGGGGCAAGGCAGAAACCTGACAGCGAGGGGGGACAGAGAAGAAACTAAGGCAGAGGAGAGGGGGACTGGGAAGGTTCAGTGAGCTCGGTCTGTGATTGTTGAACTGGCCTTTTCATCCTACCCCCGCCGCTCCTCTCTTCCCACCTACCCCCAGGAGGGGGCAGTGGAAGGGGCCAAGCTGGGTGTGTCTGTCCCGGCAGACGGAGGCTGCGCAGTCGGTGCTGGCTGCAGGGCCAGGATCTCAGGGCTCGGGGGAGCAGGAACCCCAGGCTGTGGGGGAAGCAGCTTCTTCTCTGTGACTGGCTGGGGCCAGCACATCTCTGCTTCCCTCCCCGTTCACTGCTCCCAGCCCAGCACCGTCTGTGCCCACTGGACCCTGAACATGGCTGGGCTCTGGGCCATTCCACATCCTTGGCCCCTGAGCCTGTCGGGATCCTGAGCCAGTCACTTCAGTGCCTCCTTCTAGGGTATCACCAGCCCCTGGGGAGCCTCCCGTCAGCCCCCCGGAAGCCCCTTCCTATGCAGGTTCCCAGGCCCTGAGTCACTCGCTGGCTGCTCCAGGCTGGCCAGGCCCAGGGTCTCCAGCAGGTCTGTTGGTGCTGGCACCGCACTCGCTGCCCGAGCTCCCAGCACTGACCCCTGCCCTGTGGGTGGGGACGCTGCTGCTCTCAATGGCTGAGCCTCCCCCTCCTCCCTCTGCTGCTGCGCTCGCAGGCTCAGCACATGCCAGGGCCAATTCGGCGCTGCTGGGGCTGCTCCTTCCCTTGGCACCTGGATTCTCTGTGTCTGGGGCAAATGGCGGGTGAGTGGGCAGGGACCTGCTCAGAGACACACGCCCTGTGCTGCACCCAGAGGGCAGAGACCAGCCAGGGCTGGACAGCAAAGTGTCACCGCGCTGGGATTAAGCTTTTCCTTCCACCCACCCCAGCAGCCCTGGCCGGTCAGTGCCACTTGACTACCCGCGCTCTGACCCCAGGGCCCCGGGTCTGGCAGCTTGCGGGAGTCACTGGGTGAATGTGTGGGGCAGAGTAACCAGGGCTCCCTGTGCCCTAGGATCCCCCTGTGCAATGGGGAAGGCTCTGCGCTCTCATGCAGCCCTTAGGGGCTGGGCAGTGAGTGTTGTTGTTGTTACCACCCTCAGCCGTTTCAGGGTGTCTTGGCAAGCATCTTGCCTCACTTTACACTCTTCATCACTCCTTAAATTACGCCCCTCAGTCCAAAAGAGCTGAGAGAAAAGTCCCCTCCTGGAGTCCGTTCTGAGTCCAGGTAAACCCCAACATAAAATGTTTTCCATCACTCTGCTCCAGCCTCCAGCTCTCACTCAAGCTCCTCACTGTCCTCAAGTCAGAAGTCCTCAGTCCTCCTTCCCGGAGCTGCATTTGGATTAGTTTCCATTGTGGAATCAGATGACTCTAGCCCTCCCTCCTGGAGCTGGGGTCATTTCAGACTGTGCCTTTATTCTCTGCATCCACTTTCTCCAGCTGGGGGCAGCTCTCCAGGGTTCCGTCCTGCTACATCTGCTGCTGTCACTGTCATCTCTGGCAGCGCCTCCCCCTTAGGGGAGCTCCTCTGTCTAGGACAGTGGTCCCCAAACTTTTTTGGTCATGCCCTCCCTTACCTGGATTGCGCCCCAACCCTGGGAGCTGCAGTTGGGAGAAGGACCAGGAACAGGGCTGCAATTGGGGCCAGGAGCCGGGGGCCATGGCTGGGAGTGGACCCACAGTTGGGGCCGGGAGCTGGGGGCTTCAGCTGGGGGTGGAACCATGGTTGGGGCTGGAGCTGCAGCTGGGGTTGTAGCCTGGAGCAGGGCCGGGAGTTAGTGGTTGATGCCGGGGCTGGAGATGCAGCTGGGGCTTAGGGTGGGGCTGGGGGCAGAGCAGGGCTGGGTGGTGTTTGCTTCCCGCCACCCATGGGGGCTGGTCCAGGCCCTGCCCTGCCCCCCAAATGTTCCTCCACACCTTTGAGGGGGGCACAACCCACAGTTTGGGGACCACTGCTCTAGGAGCTCCCCTTCCAGGATCCTGGCTATGGGAGCTCCTCTCCTCAGCAGCTTCCTGTCCCTAGGATCCCTTCAGCTGAGCCCTGGTAACCCTTTATCAGGCTCATTAGCCGTTTTGCTGCCAACTTGCCACCTAGGGATTTACTTCCAGGTTGGTCTGGGTTGTCTCATTCTCCCTTACAGGAGCCTCTCACAGGTAGTCTGGTCCCTGACTCCCCTAAAAGGGCCAGCCCTCTTGATACACTTCCTCCCACCCCCTGAGCCAACCTGTATTCAAAGGTAGGCTCGACCATGGCTGACACTTGGTTATGTTCTGCAGCCGGGGTGAGGTGGGGGGTACTTCCTGCCCTGCTGTCACAAGGAAATCTGCCAGGCCCTTGGCCATAATTTTATTCCTGTCACTGAAGTATGAAGAGTCCAGGAGTTTGATTCCCCAAGTCTCTATGTAGCTCATGTCATGGGGAAAATCCCCCATAGTCTTCAGCATGTCATAGTTCAGAAGAACTCTTTGGCCATAGCAGAGGTAGTCAATAGCACTGGACTTTCATCATTGGTGTGATGGTCGTGTGGCAGATATGGGCTGGCTACAGAGCTTCCCTCTCAGCCAGATACACACCAGATGTGTTCATCACAAAATCCTTTAATGTTCTGTCACGTATGGCTGAGGTCAGCTTAAATATGGTATTTTACACACGGCGCTACCTAGTGGTTGAACAGCATAATACAGTTTACATTCCATTACATCTCCCACTTTAAGTTCTACATTCCTACCATTTATAATATTTACATTATCACACTGTCTTTGAGGTTCAGTGTGGATCAGTCTGTTAGGTGTCTCTGAATGGTGCTGATCTTCTAATTACACGACCCGAACAGGTAACCGCTTGGTCAGCTGGCTGTCTATTAGTTCCACCGACTGACTATGGTCGGTCTGGAATCCTTGAGTCATCTTCTTATTCTGCATCCACCATCTGTAGAGTTTGCTCAGTTGATTGTTCTTTCTGAGGAACAAACTGTAGATATTGACAGTTTCTGTTGAACTCTCCTCTCTTAGGGCAGGTCTTCACTACGGGGGGGGGGGGGGGGTCGATTTAAGATACGCAAATTCAGCTACGCGAATAGCGTAGCTGAATTCGACCTATCGGAGCCGACTTACCCCGCTGTGAGGACGGCGGCAAAATTGACCTCCGCGGCTCCCCGTCGACGGCGCTTACTCCCACCTCCACTGGTGGAGTAAGAACGTCGATTCGGGGATCGATTGTCGCGTCCCGACGAGACGCGATAATTCGATCCCCGAGAGATCGATTTCTACCCGCCGATTCAGGCGGGTAGTGTAGA